TGATGGTTTTTCTATTCTTGTATGGAATACGGGCGTTATTGGCAAAGCTGACACTTGTTGTCCATCCCTAGTTTTCCTGGAACTGAGCAGCTTACCAGGACCATTTTAAGGGTCAATTAGGAGTTGTAAGGGATCTTCACCTTATCCATGCCCCTCATGATATGATAAACCTCTGTAAGGTCACCCCTCAGCCTCCAATGCTCCTGGGTAAAGAGCCCCAGCATATTCAGCCTCTCCCTACAATTCAAACCCTCCAACCCTGGCAACATCCTTGTAAATCTTTTATGAAACCTTTCAAGTTTAACAACATCCTTCATGTAGCAGGGAGAACAGAATTGAAGGTAACTCACCTAGGATGCATTGTAGGGTAACGGATGTTGTCGAGAACAGCAAAAGTGAAGGCTCTGATTGAACTCCCTGTTTCTAAAACTAAACGGAAAATTAGATTTTTGGGAATGTGTGAGAAATTCATGCCTAACTTGAGCACAATAGCTGCACCAGTAAAGGTTGGTTATGAAAACAGGCAAAACTAGCCTCGTCAGCAGAGTATCAAGTGGTTTTTGAGAATCATAGAATCATTGAATCCCTACAGTGTGGAAACAGGCCCTTCGGCCCAACAAGTCCACCTCAGAGCATCCCACCCATACCATTTTCATAAATGAACCAGTATTGGCTACTCCTGACTTTACAAAACTTTTAAAATTGGTGATATTATGATAGTGACTTAGGGATAGCTGCAATCTTATTGCAAAATTATGAATCTTAAATAAAGATGCCAGAGGGGTTCTTTTCAAGAAAATTTAACCAATGTCAGAAGAAGTACTCTACAGTGAAAAAGGAGACTTTAGGATTGTTACTGGCTCTTGACATTTTGAATTCTATATCCATCACAGTTGTAAAGAAACACTAATATTGTTATTTTTAATCAACTTGTTCAGACATGTTATGATTAAGTAGACATTACCACCTCACTACAAGGACACCTGACACTAATGATTGCTAACCGTAATCTGCTAGCTTTTGTGGAGAAAATTCTCTTTTGCAGAGAAATTTATGACTTGTAAAATAAGATTACTCTAATTGAGCTTATTGAATGAACAACTTAATGTGAAAGTTGCTCACATTGCTGGAAAAGATAATGTAAATAGCAACACATTATCAAAAATGTGGTTGTGCTTGAATAATTTAAATGAATGAATTGTAATTTTCTTGTGTTATATTGTATATGTGTTGTGATGCTTTGTGGTGAAATACATTTAAATCAGTCCTTAATTTCTGGGACTACATATTTTCCTTTTTGGCCTATAAACTAATATGGAAGCTGGATTGCTTTGTAGCTTAAATAGCCAGAGTGAAAAAATCAAATGTGCAAATGTCTTGCTGTGCAAGACAACATTGTTTTCATTGATATTTGGACATGCACAGCAAGATCTCTCTGATTCTCTGTACTTCCTGGGGTCCTACCTTTCAACGTGTACTCCCTTGCCTTTCTAGTTCTCCCAAAATGCATCACCTCACAATTTCACAATTAAATCCCATTTGTCATTGTTCTGCCCATCTGACCAACCTGTCTATATCACCCCGTATTCGAATGTTTTCTTCCTCACTATTTAGCACAGCACCACTTTTGTGTTATCTGTGAAATTTCTGATCATGCCTCTTGTAATTCATGTCTAGATTATAGATATACACAACTATCAGCAAAGTGACCTAACACCAAACCATGTGATATGCCACTGGACACAGGCTTCCAGTAAATACCCTCTTCCAACCATCATCCTCTGCTTATTGCCACAAAGCCAATTTTGGATCGAATTTGACAAACTGCACTGGATTCCATGGACACTTTGCTTCTTAACCAGTCTGATGTGTGAGGCCTTATTGAAATCCATGTCAACAACATCAACCACATTTCCCTCACCCACACACCTAGACACCACCTTGAAAAATTCAAATTTGTCGCACGTGGTCTCCTCTAATAAAGCCATCCTGTCTATCATTGATTAATCCTTGTCTCTCAAAGTGGAGATTAATTCTTTCCCTTAAATTTTTTTTCCAATAGTTACCCTAACACAGATGTTATCCTCACTGGCCTGTAGTTTTCTGGTTAACCCCTACCAACATTCCTAAATATTGGTATCACATTGGCGATTCTCCAGTCCTCTGGCAAACATCCCTATGGCCAGAGAGGATTTGATAATTAATGTCAGAGTCCCTTCTCCCACGTCCTTCCTCGCCTCCCACAGCAGCCTGGGATCATCTTGGCCTGGGAATTTATCCACTTTCAAGCCTGCTAAAACCACTAATACCTTCTTTCTCTCAATGCCAATTTGTGCAAGTATTACACAGCTCCCCACTCCCTGATTTCCAGATCAGTATTGTTGTTCTCTATTGCTAATTCTGGGGAAATGTACTCAGTTAAGACCTTAGCTATTTCTTCTGGCCCCACACAGACTGCCACTTCGGGCCCTACTCTTTACCTGGTTATTTGCTTGCCCCTAATAGGCGTATAAAATGCCTTTGGATTTTCCATAATGTGGCCCACTAGTGTTTTTTCATGCCGGCTCCCCTCCCCCGCTACCTCCACCATCCCCCCCCACCCCGCCCCATCTCTGCATTTCCTATACTTTTCTAGGACATGTGCTGTTTTGATATTTACCATAAGATTCCTTTTTGTTCTTATTCACTTCTGTGCATCCCTTGACAATACAGAGTTCTCTGGATTGTTGGTCCCACCCTTCACCTTTATACTACCATGTTGGCCCTGCACTCGCATTATTACCCTTTTGAACACATTTGACTACGCTGACGTGGATTTTGCTGCAAGTAGCTGCTCCCAGTTCACTTTGGCTAGATCCGGTTTAAAATTGGCCTTCCCCAGTTCAGAACCTTTCCTTCCACTCCATCTTTGTCTGTATCTGTAATTACCATAAATGTAACTAAATGATGGTCACTATCATTGAAAGGCTCCCCCACTGCCACATCGATCACTTTTCTGACTTTGTTCCCAAAAATAGGTCGGGGACTTTTTTAGGACTTCCTTTGTGCTGGCTTAAAGTAGCTTACTTGGAAATCTTTCTAAGAATTGTGTCCCTCTAAGCCTTACACACTTTGTCTATTCCAGTTATTATTGGAGAAGTTGAAATTCCTTACTACTACCACCATATTATTTTTTACATGTCTATCCATTTAACTCCTTTCAGCCTTGCGGATGCACTACCATCCTTCAGGTGATAATCAAGCTCCAAAACGCTGCACTAAAGCTAATCAAACTGTTGGCAGTTCCAGGTAACTGTGGTCATCAAGGCTGCCAGGTCTGTATAAGATTTCCCCCATAGAGTTCTGAAGACTCAGGGCCCTCAGGGAGAAAATCTTTTCCTCCTCTCTGTGTCCAAATTCCTGGGTTTCTTGTGGAGTCAAATTCAATTCTGGCATTGGAAAAGGAATTAGATCATTATCTGAAAATCAAAAAAAAACAGCAATTGCTAGAAAAGCACAGCAGGTCTGGCAGCATCTCTGAAGACAAAACAAAGTCAATGTGAGTCCACTGTCTCTTCTTCGGACCTTTCTGCAGCATAGACTTTTAAAATGCCACAAACAGGCACAGAAAATAATCAAGAAGGCTAATGAAATGCTGGTCTTTATATCTAGAGGATTAGAGTTTAAGGATAAAGTTTTACAAAGCCCTGCTTGGAGTATCCATGCACCACACCTTAAGAAGGATAAATAGCCCTGGGTGGGGGTACAACATGGGTCTACAAGAATGATACATAGATTTCAGGGGTTATTATAGGGAGCAGTTGTACAAATTCGGTCTGTTTTCCCCAGAATTTAGAAGGTTAAGGGGTGATTTGATCAAAGTCTTCAAGATATCAACAGGAAAAGACTGCGTAGATAAACTATTTCCACTGGTTGGAGATTCTATATCCAGCGGCCATAGTCAAAAAATTAGGGTGAGACGATTCAGTAGAGATGTTAGGAAGCACTTTGGCAAGCAGTCCCCGAGTTGAGAATATGTTCCATTCTTGACTCAGTTCACAAGTCGGAATACAATGCAGGACAATAGAAGCATCTGTTTGTAATGTTCATATGTTGGGTCTTTAAAATTATGACCATGTATGGAATCATATTCATAAGTTAGATATTTGTAAATTGGTGAACCCACCTCCTTACACACAAAGAGTGGCAGAGGTTTGGATCTTCTTCCATAAATGGCAGGGAATGCAGGATTAGTTGTTAATTTTAATTCTCAAATAGATACATTTTTAAGCCAAGATATTTTGGGTGAAAAACTCAGCAGGTCTGGCAGCATCTGTAGAGAGAAAGCGGAGTTAATATTTTGGGTTCAGTGGCCCTTCTTCAGAACTGATTGTGGCTGGGAAAAGGTTGGTACAAATGCTAGAGAAAGGGTTGGGGGGGAGGGGAAAGAGTAAACTATAGCTGGAGATAGATTTAGAGAGAGAAAGAATGTTTCGGCAGACAAATGAATGCGTGAAGGTCAGCTTGGGATAATGAATAGCCAACAATGGGGAGCATTAGTGGCTGACAATGTTTGTGGTCGCCCCCCCATGTGGAGGTTAGGGTGAGGAGATGGGAGAAGATGCTCAGACCCTAAAATTATTGAACTCGATATTGAATCCAGAAGGTTTCAGCATTCCCAAGTGGACAATGAGGTGTTCTTCCAGCTTGTGCTGGTATAAGTGAATATGGGCCAAAAGCAGGTGTATGGAGTTAGGGGAGCGATCAGCCATGATCCTACTGAGCGGGCTGAATGGCCTTCTCCTGTTCCTATGATCCTGTTCCCTTGCCAAGGCCGCAATGCGCGTGCGTTGGCATATCTTTGGCGGCTCGCGTGTGTCGGAGGACCGCACATGCGCGGTATCGGTTAGCTGATGCAATGCCGACTCCGGGGCGGGAGGAATAAACGACGCAAATATCGACAGACAAGGAGTGTAGCCAATCAGAGGGAAGGCGTCTGTGCGGGACTGGCCAATAGTAACGGTTAGGGGGTGGGGTCTGTCCTGCTGGCGGTGACAGGGAGTCGGCGAGTGAGCGGCGCGTCTCTCATTCACAACGAAACAGAGAGAAAAAAACAAAAATAAATAATAATTAACCCAAATTTTCAGTTCGAAATCTTATATTCGGAGTTTACACAGCCCGGGAAGTCGCCATGTCTGGAGATGAGGTATGGTTGAAGTTTCACGCTGACTGAGCGGGTGCGCCTCGGGCTCGAGTTTGGGTGGCGCTGGCCCTGAGTGAGGTAGCGGCTGGTGTCTGACGGGCGGAGAGTCGGGGGGGGCCTGAGGCCTACTGGGCCCTGCCACTCTGCTGCAGTGAACAGCTTTGAATTTAGCTGTTTTACCACGTTTAGTGGATAAAGGGAAAAGTAAACAACGTCCGAGTGGAAGTTTAGTGTCTTTTACGTTGACCTGTTTTTTTCCTGAGGCTTTGGATTCACAGACTGCTTTCCCCACGTTTCGCCTTAATGTCACGGGCTGTCCCACTACAGTAGGCGTTATATTAGACCTGGTCCTGTCCTTGTCCTAATGTTCTGAAATGTAAGCGAGCGTAGAGTTCAGATTCCACTCTGTGCAAGTTCTTTATTTAAATTTGATTTAAATTCAGCCAATCTTGCAGTTAGTTTTAAAATAAAGCCTAAAATGTTAAATACTTTTAAACATTTCAAAGTGAAGGGAACTTTGTGTGATTTTCCATTTTGTCAATTTGCAATACTGTAAAGCATCCTACTGCTATCTTTTATTCTGCACGAACTTGAGGGATGCAAAAAGTCACACAGCTCGGAAACAGTCCCTTTGACCAGCTTGTCCATGCTGACGAGGTTTCCTAAACTGAACAGTCCCGTTTGCTTGCACTTGGCCCATATCTCTCTAAATCTTTCCTATCCATGTCCAAATGTCTTTTAAATGTTGTAATTGTATTTGCCTCTACCATTTTCCCTGACAGCTTGTTCCATGCATGCACCCCTCTGCGTGAAAAAGTTTCCTTTCAGGTTCCTTCTAAATCTTTCTTCTCGCACTTTAAACCTACACAGTCTAGTTTTGGGCTCTGTTATCTGGAAAAAGACCTTGCCTATTAACTAGAATACACTTAAGAATCCTGAAATATTGGATGCTGGGATTTTAAAAGCTTCCTGTTGGCCCCTTTAATCAGTTGTAGCATTTGAACTTGTTGAACCATGCAAGGCAGGACTTTTTTAAATAGATGCCATTTTAAAGTATAGCAGTTTACGTGAAGCAAAGATGTATCAGAAAGCAAATGAGTAGTTCAAATTAATGAGGTTGTTGACTTGCTTGCCAAACTGGCTTGTTTTCGTTCAGATGTTTCGTCACCATGCTAGGAACATCATCAGTGAGGCCTCCGATGAAACGATGTTGTTCTACTCAGCTTGGAATTTATGCTGTCCGGTCCGTTATGGTGAGTAGTGTCCTTTCCAGTTTTGTTCTGAATGGGTTTGTATATGGGGTCCAATTCTATATGTTTTTTGATTTATTACGGGTTGATAACCATGCCTCTACGAATTCCCATGCGTGTCTATGTTTGGCTTGGGCTACTATGGTTACGTTGTCTCAGTTAAACTGATGGCCTTCATGGTCCCACTGTACTGATGTTAGGAAAGTTTGTTGTGTCGTTTCGTTGCTAGCTGAAGTTCGCGTATTCTGATGGTTAGTTTCCTTTCTGTCAGTCTGATGTAGTGTTTGTGGCAGTTGTTACATGGTATTTTGTAAACTACGTTGGTTCTACATGTGGGAATGGGGTCTTTAATCCTTGTGAGTGTTTGTCGCAGAGTGGCTGTGGGCTTGTCTGCTACCATGATTCCTAGTGGTTGTAGGAGTCTCATTGCCAGTTCTGATATGTTTTTGACGTAGGGCAGTGTGGCCAATGTGTTAAGATGTACTGTGTCCTCTTGTTGTCTAGATGTCTACTAAATAGACAACCAAATACATGAAAATCAGCTAGCAGCGAAACAACATGACGAACTTTCCTTAATATCAGTAGGCTTGGACCATGAAGGCCATCAATTTAACTGGGACAACGTAACCATTGTAGCCCAAGCCAACGATAGACACGCACAGGAATTCCTAGAGGCATGGTTCTCAACCCGTAATGCAATCAACAAACGTGATGGAATTGGACCCCATATACAAACCCATGCAGAACAAAACCGGAAATGACACTACTGATAGTAAAATATAGGGTATGCAGGGTAGTTTGATCTTAAGAGTAGAATAATAGGTCGGCACAACATCGTGGGCCGAAGGGCCTGTACTGTGCTGTATTGTTCTATGTTCACCATAACGGACCGGGCAGTATAAATTCCAAGCGGAGTAGAACAACATCGCTTCATCGGAGGTCTCACTGATGTTAACCTAGCATGATGACAAAATGTTCAAACGAAAACAAGGCAGCTGGGCAAGCAAGTCAACAACCTCGCCCATAACTGGAACTACAAATCTTTGCTAAAACCTTAAAGCTCAAGTTAATGTTGGTCTTAGAGGATAAAAATGGGAATTAATAATGTGAATCTGTAAAATGACAGGGACTTTATGCTTTTCATGTTTTCCCAGTGGATTTGGAACACTTCAGGAGTAGTAGAAAATAGAGGGGGTGGTGGAAGTCTGGAACATATTAATTTTAATTAATAATTTTAATTTATTAATTAACTGGATGAGGGCGTCACCGGCTCGGCAGCATTTATTGCCTAGAGGGCAGTTCAGAGTCCATCACATTGCTGTGGGTCTTGAATCACATGTAGGCCAGACCAGGTAAGGATGGCAGTTTCCTTCCCTAAAGGACATTCGTGAACCAGATGGGTTTTTCTGACAATCGACAATAGATTTATGGTCATCGTTACATTTCTTAATTCCAGATATTTTTGAACCTGGATCCCCAGAATGTTGTCTGGGTCTCTGGAATAACAGTCCAGCGATAATACCACGAGGCCATCGCTTCCCCTATATAATTAATACAAGGAAACTAGTGAGACTAATAAGGGCTAAATTTTTGGACTGTTGATGGTCTGCATCTTCAGGTCTTTGAAGTAACTGTAGAACTAGTAGAAATATTGGTTGTAATCTTCTGAAATTTGCTAGATTCTGCAAAGGTCCCAGTAAAATGGCACCCAATGAATGAGGGAGACAGAAGAAAAAGTAACTCAGTCCCATTCTTCCAGCCTTTCCCCACAGTCCTGCAAATTCTATGTTTCCACATTTCATATCCAGCTCCCCTTTTGAAAGCCATGATTGTAACTGCCTCTATCAATTTCTGTGGTAATTCATTTAGATGTAACCACTTTGTGTGGAAGTAATTTTCCTCAAGTTGGCATTCACTGTTTTAAGGTCTCAATGAAAATTTGTAGCTCAGGTTGTGGATGTGGTTGATCGTTTGCCCGCTGAGTCAGTTATTCCATGGAGTGCAGATGTTTCATTACCATTCTAGGCAGCATCATCAGTGAGAACTCTAATCGAAGCATTGGTGTTCTACTGTTCCAAGTTCTGACGGTCCTCTGATGTGGTGGGTCTTGTCACTTCCATTTCTGTTTTTTTTAGCATTCTACATGCTTGTTAATGGAGTCCCGTGTTGAGAACCAGGCCTCCAAAAATTTGCTTGCATGCCTGCTGATCGCTTGTCATAGTGTAGTCACTTTGTCCCATCGTCTGTGTGTATTGAGACAAGTGAATATTGATCATGTCTTTTTACTGCCAGTTGGTGTTCATGTATCCTGATCGTCAGTTTCCTCCCTGTTTGTCCAGTCTGATGTCTGTTGCACTCACTGCATGGGCTTCTGTATGTCACGTTAGTCCTGTTTACTGTCAGTATGGGGTCTTCAGTCTTTGATATGCAATCCATCCAAACCTTTCCTATTCATGAACTTATGCAAATGTCTTAAGTGTTGTACCTGCGTCAACCATTTCCTCTGGCAATTCCTTCCACACGTGAGCCACTCTAAAAGAAAAGTTGCCCCTCATGTCCTTTTTTTTTTAAATCTTTCTCCTCTCGCCTTTAAAAATATGCCCCCTTGTTTTGAACTCTCCCCTACCTTAGGGAAAATACCTTTTTACTATTCACCTTATTTATGCCCCTCATGATTGTATAAACCTCTATAAGGTCACCCCTCAACATCCTAGGTTTCAGTGAAAAAAAAGTCAACATGCAAAATCTTAAAGGCTTTACTAAAGTCCAAATAAACAGCATCTACCACTCTGCCGTCACCAATCTTTCTGGTTACTTGCTCAACAAACTTGCATCAAGTTTGTGAGACACGATTTCCTCTAGCACGAAACTATACTGACTATATCGCTAACCATTCCTTGCCTCTCCAAATGCATGTAAATCTTATCTTTCCGAATCACCTCCAACAACCTACCCACCATTGATGTCAGACTGAGATAACAAGGTGTAGAGCTGGATGAACACAGCAGGCCAAGCAGCATCATCGGAGCAGGAAAGCTGACGTTTTGGGCCTAGACCGGATATTTTTCTAAATTATTGATATATCCGTTGGCGTCTAGATTCCAAATGGAAAATTCTGAACGCATGCAACATAAAAAGTTAAGCTGAAGAAATCCCCTTAATTTTACGCTTAATTTATATTTAGCATGGTGGACTTTTCCCTCCTGTGCCCCCCTAGAACTAAAACCCCCTCCCCTTGTTCTTCCAGATGCAGGACTGTTTAAGCCAAAAAATACTGATTCTCCAGACTTCGAGACATTTTTCTCAATCTTTCTCTGATTTTTCTCCTCACCCAATTTTAAAGCTGAGGTACATTCGAGATTGTATGCAAATTGAGCCAAATCCAAGTTTGCTTTGGAAGTTGTATTTGTGGAAGGGGATTAGGGCTTTTGACAAAGTGGAAATGGCACTAGTCGATAATCCACCGGGCTAATGGTGTGGGAGCGAGGGCTCAAATCCCACCACAGGAATAGGTGAAGTTTAAATTCATTTATTAATTAGTGACTTTGAATCTATTGCCGATTGTTGTAAATACCTGGTTGGATGAAGCATTTAGGGAAGGAAATCTGCTTAGTCTGGTCAGGGGTAGATAACTGTTGTTAAACAGTATTAGTCCACAATTTGCTGGCAAAACCACATGGTGGAATGCTGGATATTGGCAGCTTTGAGGTGGGAGGGTGTGTATTTGACAAGAGGACAATCCTTTTAGTCTGGCGTTATAGAGGCAGAGCAAGCTGGGCTTGACGTCGCCCCCTTTTGCCAATTTGACATGTATTTGAGACGCTATCTCTTTACCTGATGTTATTAAATGATAGTACAAGCATAATCTTCTGAGTCTTGGTGAGCAGTTAAAGATCTGCATGTGCTTTAAAATCATGCGCACGTTTGAATTAATGGCCTTGAGGTTTTTGTAGCACGGCGGTAGTGTCCATACCTCCTGGGCTATGAGGCCTAGGTTCAAGTCCCACCTGCTTCAGAGGTGTCAGCACAACTTGACAGATTGATTTCAAAAACATTTTGTTTTGATGGCCTTTGAAATAGCTTTTTTTTATTCACTCTTGATGTCGCTGTCTGGGCCAGTATTGAATGGGAACTCTTGAATTTATTTCTCTTCAGTTTAGTATTACTTCAAATATCTCATCTAAACTGCAGCACTCAAGTACCTCTCAAATTTTTCATTCCTTTTCTGTTTTATTTTGTTGCTGAAAATGACAAATCTCCAAACCCTCTTCAAATTTTAAGCTGATTCTAATCCTTTCATGATATAATTATTTATTTCTTTCTTGCAGGTCTGTTGTACTTACATTCATTGATATTAAACTTGATTCCTTGAATACCCAGTTGTATAAACTGATCTGCTGTTGCTTTCCCATCTTGCCAAGAGTCCCTGTTATCAGCTGTTAAGACAACTTGGTAAAAATGTGACCATGACTTCAAACCATAGCAAATCCAGGAAGTCAACTTTCAATTTCATTTCTGAGCTGTGTATACACTGGCAAGACTGACACTTCTTGCCCATGTCTATGGCCCTGTGAAGGTGGTTGTGGACCTGCTGCTTGATCCATTACAGCTTGTTCTGAAGGTATTTCCACATGGTAGAAGCTAGAGAGTTCTAGGGTTTTGACCATAACGAAGGAACACCAATGTATGTCTAAGCTGGGTTGGTGCGTGCCCTGAAAGGGAATTGCATATGGTTCCATTCTTGAGCACTCCTGAAAAAATCTTCTTGATTTGGTGTTCTGCATCTTATTAGGTAGTTCACGCCACCATTTGGCAATCAACAGAGTGTGGATGTTTAAGCGATAGGTTACCAATCTAGCAAGCTGCTTTGTCTTTGCAGATCTTCCACTTTCCAAGCAGCTGCATGATTTCCCCTCATTCATTTCCCATGTGAGACTGTTGTGTTTTGGCTTGCAGGATAGCTTTTGACAATCTGAGGGCTCAAACTTAGTGTACTACTGCCTAGTTCATATGTTTCATCCTCAGCAGGGCATTTTCTTTCTTAGTGCAGACTGTTTCATTACTGACAGCTAAGTTAATTAGATAAGTTATGAAGTGAGTGCTGTGCTACTTTTAAAAGATCTCTAATCAGGGTCTTTAAATATTATGGTGCACTTAACCCAAGAGTTCTGGTTCTCGAGTGATGATCTTTGTGGAAATGTCTGTGCTCTGCTGGGAGTATTAATTGGATAAGAATGGTGTCGTAAAACATTCAATTTATGCTTTCTTTTCAATTTAGCTCAAAAATATTAAAAGAACAGGATTTTTTTTTGAAGATATTTCTAATAAAGTCCCTAATACTCCCTTTTCTCCTTCCATTCAAAACTTGGTTTTAATGTTTTGACCACAAAGTACATAGTCATCCAATAGGATTTAAGTTTTTTTTGTATTAACTTGATTGGCACAGCTAATAGAAATCAAAAACATTTTGTGCCGGTCTCCCTGGCACTGCTCATTTCTCTGTTTGTAGCCCCTGAAACTGCCCTTAAAATATGAGAGCTGTTGACTGAAGCATTTTGGGAGTGGTACTAATTTTAGGCCAGAAACAGTGGTTGGAAAAAGTTTTTTTTTTTGAGACTTAACATCTATGAGAAAAACCTTAAATCCATAACGCAGTGCTTGAGTTTGAAGTAATCATTTGCTATACTGATGATCCAGTTGTAAATGAATCATTTTTACTTGAGTGGACTGTAAGTTTCAATTGCTGTTCAAGAAAATAATTGAGATTATGTGCAAAACCTGAAATATTTTGTTCTTGTTTTGCAGGAGCATATTTTGAGTTTAAATCTATTTCTTGAAGTGAGTGGTGTAGAGTTGAGAATATAACTTTTTTAAATGTGCGAACCATTATCTGATCCAATGTCTGTTATTTGCCTTGAAAAGATGATTTTCGATCCCACAATGACAAAGAAGAAGAAAAAGAAGAAGAAGCCCTTCATGCTGGAAGAAGATGGGATTGAACAACCAACAGAGGAGACGCCAGCGACCGAATCCAAGGAAACTGTAATATCGGAGAATGTGGAGGAGAAGGTTCCAGAGGCAGATGAAGATGACAATAAGAAAAAAGGTATATTGATTCTTTAACTGTGTATTCAATTTCTTTTGACTGGAATTCAGTTTGGGAATTGCAACTTGCATTGACTAGGAGATAAGCAAAGATGACTTGAATCTTGTCTCTTTTAAGTATGTTTCATTATTCCAAAGCTGTAGTAAGAAGCATGCGATTTCTGAAGGGAACAGCATCTTTGAACCATTACAAATTCTAAAGAGTCCTTTTTGAGTTCTTGGGCAACCCTCAACACTGTCACCAATCATTTATATGTAGTGAAGCCTGCTAGATGTCCTTCCAAATATTTTATTTTTAATTGTTTGGGATAGAGCTCCATGTGCTGAGTTCCCTTGCTGCCAGACAATTTGAGATGCAGCCAGTCAATGTAAAGAAAAGGCTACTCACTTGGAGTCTGTACTACAGCTACTGGGCTGAGATAGCTAAAAAGAGCACACGTGGAAAGGATAGCAAGTTAAATTCATATAAAATGCTTTTAAAGGGGTTTTGAATCTGCTCACTTTGAAGGATGGAAGTATGAGAAAGGAGCAATCTCTGGCAATATGCTGTATGATTTCTGCTCTCTTACTTGGGCAGAGAAACTCAGCACCTCTGCTGTTTTCCCCTGACGGATCTGCTGTGATGGCTGTCGTGCAGATGATCATGTTGTGAACAGATACTGAAAGGCACATTGATACACGGATCTCATTTGTTTCAAGCGATGGGTGGTTACAGCAGAAGAGGCTTATTCAAAAGAAGATCGACTTTTCTTTAGTCATAACTTCAGAGAATATTAAGATCAATTGTTTTCTGTTCAGATCAGTCAGGCTCTGTAACTGCTTATCAGTCTTACAATATGTCTTTAATTCTTTCAACCTCTAATGGGTCACAATTTTTAATGAAAAATAGTTGTTCAGCGCAGTTTCCTTGCGGTATAGTCTGCTACTCATTAGTTATCAGGTTAAAATCCCCTTTCATCTCTATAGAGCTTTTGTTCTGAGATGGTGAATTATGAGCAAAGCTAGTTTAGGGTTTGTTGGTGAAATACAATATTCCAATGTGCTTTGTAGCTGGGCTGATCATCCATACTGATCATTTAAAAGACCAGTACATTTGGGAGATTTTCAATGAAAGTCACATTTGTCATAAGCAATATTATTTTCTGCATTCACTTTTTTTGTGCAGTCATGTTGAAGCACAATATGAAATTGTGATGGAGTAACACACACTTGCAGTCTTTATTTAACCCCATTCACCTGGCATACATTCAGCGGCCCAACTCATTGTAAATCTACAGGAGTAGACCAATAACTTGTAATAATTGTCTCAGTTTCAACCGAGGAGGCCCGCGACTTTGCTGTATTTGACATCAGAAAAAATAAAACTGAGCTTTGATGGTTTGTATTGTATGCAATGGCTTTATAATGACAAACGTGCTAAAATGAATTGATATTGAAATTAAACAGATTTTGTGTTGTTCTAGAATGAAAGAAAATGTACAGTGAGTATTGTTCAGAATTTGTCTCATGAGATGAAGCAGATGCTGTGAATTTATCTTTTACACAGCAGGTTACAATTAAAGCACAATAACAGCACCAAGGCTACTTCAAGTATGATTTGCAAAGATCACACAAAAGCAGAAAGTTTAGCTGCGTATAATTTTTGGGATGTCCGTGTATCCTAGCAAAGTCACTGTTGACCATAGGTATGCTGAGAGCTGAGCTGTGAGCTTTGTCCACTGTTACTAGAGGTAGCTTTTGTTGGGCTTTTTGTTCCAGCAGGAGCACTGCTGGACCTTTTAGAACATGAGGTAAACCTTTTGTGCATTTGAACACATTGGTTTAGTTCTGATATAATGAGCACATGACGTTGTTCTCAAAGGTACTCATATCATTTCTGAAAATGGCACAAGTAAATGCACAAATCTTTTTCCACGTGGCCAAGCTCCTGTGATTGGGTTAAATCTTAAATCATCTTTTTATCGTTATCATTTTAAGAAATGTTATTCATAACTTCATGTTGAATAGGCTATTGTGTAAAAACCACATGGTCTTACCTAGCATCAGACATTTAAGAAACCACTATGCAACCAGCATAATAGTTCTGAGAAAAATACATTGCTTGTAAATTACTTTGGAAGAGTTGTTCTGTTATAACACATCCAGTTTCTTGTCTAAGTCCTAAGGGTTATCATCTTGTGACACATGGGAGCCTTGGAAAGTCTGCTTTAAATCTAGTCCCCTCAAAGATTTGATTACTATTTGTGTTACATATGTTTGAATTTTTCTTCTTAGATACGACAGATGACTTAGATGACTTGGACTTCTTCAATCAAAAGAAAAAAAAGAAAAAACCCAAGAAACCTATTGGAATTGACAATGGTGTAAAGGTTAGTGGTGAGAGTATGCAGGGACTCAGTGAGACCCTTTGGGACACGCAAAATCTTTGTCAAGCTTGTACTCTCTAAGACAATCACTGACTATTCATATAATTTTTCAACTGTTAGCCCAAAGGTGCAAATTGTCATAGGAACAGGAGAACGCCATTCAGTCCTTTGAGCCCATGCTACCATTTAATTTGTTCATGACACACAGATGCTGATGCCCAAATGTCAAAAGATTTTCTTGTCTATCTCTTCTAAGCAGCTAAAAGCTGCACGTTGTCCAATTGAAAAACTTTGAAAAAATAAAAATTAACGCAGGGAGTAATATGAATGTGAGAGATAAAGCATTTCTCCATCAAGTATTGGGTTTCGCTTCAATGTGGCAACTCCAATGAAAATAAAATCATAACACAAAGGCAAAAACTGTAAATGCTGGCAATCTGAAATAACAGCAAATCCTGGAAACACTCAGGATTAGGCAGCCCTCGGTCAATCTTCTATTGATAGGTCATTAACCTGTAATGTTAACTCTGTTTTCCTCAACACTGGTTACTGCCAGACTTGCTGAATATTTCCACCATTTTCTGTTCTTCAGGATTACAATGTGCCCTCCTTTCTTCCAATGACTTGATTCCAAACTTTTTTGGGTATAATCTCCCATTAAAATGTCAGTCTTTCAAGAACTGAATTGTTCTGTTTTACTATCAATTTTTGTGTGCCTAAAACCCTGAAGAGTGTTAAAAGGAAGAATGATGTTGATTGCTTGTGTAAGCTTTAATTTACACAACCCAATCATTTAAGCACAGAAAATTAGCAGTCTCCTTCACGAAAAAAAGTATCTGATAGCAATAGATTTGCTATCAAAATGATTTGTTAAAGCTGGGCCTTTCAGATAGGGGAAATAAATTGCTTAAAGGGGACTCTGTAGATTTATGTGAGGGATTAATAAATCCAGAACATTTCTTCAGATTTAATTCATAACAGTGCCTGTTAAGATTGACATATTTAAGAGTTGATGTATGCACTTCTTCAAAATATGATCAACAGCTGGATTGGATGCCTGGCTGGTGCAGTTAAGGTCAAAACAAATCATTTCAAAAACGGTTGAATGCAGTGTTTCCTCTAAAGATCTAGAGCCAAGCAGCAATCTGGAATATACTCTATTCAAACGTACAGGTCACTCTCTCAAACTCCGAGAGGTGGCATCTTTTAAAATGTGCATGGATTTTTTTTTAAAGAAACAAAGCATTCGGGTGTTTGTAGATATTCAATGCGAAGAAAGGTTTAGAAGACATGTTGCTTTGAAGACTTTTTTTAATTCTGTTGGATGTGAAATAGACTGACAACAAATGTGCCTTCTTCAACTACACCAAAATGTCCTTGTCAACATATGAAATGGGTTCATGGGGAATGCACATCTACAATGAAACTTGCCTATCTTGCAAAAGTGTGCTAGTGAGAAGAGGAAATTTCCCAATGTTAACATTCTTTTTGGCATTTAGGTTTGTGATAAAGTAGTGTGCTTCATTCTGCATCCGTCTTATTATGCTGTACCTGAGTTGATTCACACTCTCCTCTCTTGTCCATAGTACCAATTTCCTTCTGTTTCTTGCATCCCTTTCCCAGATCCAGAGAATGGGCAACAAGATTGTTCATGACTGTTCAAGTGTGCCAACTAACAGGATCTGTAGAGAGTCTACAGGGATGTTCTGCCCAGTGTCTGCCCCCTCCTCTTGAGTAACAACTGGCTACTTGCAGCACCCGGCAGTTTGAGCATGGCATCCTGTTCTGCTCACAATCAGGATGCTGTGTCTTTTGAGTATAGTGTTCTGGTTGCGTGCAGAGCCACTGTACGGCAGGCCCATATTGCTTACAGGTGTTTCCTGACTTTATCCTGGTATGCTTTTTTGAAAATGAGGTCTGCTTTAAAGAAAAGCATTTTAATCTTTTGGTTTTTCCTTACTATTATGAAAAGTCTCACTAACAAAAACACTGGTGTTGCAGATTGAGGCTGATGTCACTGAGCAGGGAGAGGTTGATGATGATGCCTTTGACATCAGCATGATGAAGAAAAAGAAGCCAAAACCTGTGACTTTCGTGGTTGAGGAGTTAAACGAAAGGACAGATGACAGTGAGTATTTCATATTCAGAAACCATCTTTGGTTTGCCCCATGCTGAGAGGTTATTGGATGAAGTTTGTGTTCTGTGTCATTGGCTAGGGAGCACAGTGGATGAATGTGGCTGAGATTTATTGGAGTGATGATTCTTTTTGGGGAAGAAACGGTGTTGGTAGGCACAGTACTTTGAATGGAAATGAAGTGATATTAACAGCTTAAACTGAGATTGCTGATTACATAATTGTAGATTATATGGAATATGGTCTGATCATTTCTCCATGACTGTTATAAAAATGCTGCAAAATTGTATGTCTAGTTTGCTTTTATGTTTAATGGCATTGTCAAACTATTTAATTATTGCTAAAATGTAATGTTGGTAGCATAACTAGTAGTGATGTCTGTTTTCCTGTACTTATGGAAACAGATTTTGGAAATCAGAGTCAATTAGTGCAGCTGTCATCTGTCTGCCTTTTTTTTTAAAAAGAATAAAAGTCCTCAATCATAGAATCATAGAATCCCTACAGTGTGGAAACAGGCCCTTCGGCCCAACAAGTCCACACCTAACCTCAGGGCACCCACCCAGACCCATCCCCCTATAACCCACCTAATCTACACCTCCCTGAACACTATGGGAAATTTAGCATGGCCAATCCACCTAACCTGCACATCTTTGGACTGTGGGAGGAAACCGGAGCACCCGGAGGAAACCCACGCAGACACGGGGAGAATGTGCAAACTCCACACAGACAGTCACCCGAGGGTGGAATCGAACCTGGGTCCCTGGCGCTGTGAGGCTGCAGTGCTAACCACTGTGCCACCGGGCTGCCCCAATGATACCTAATAAGACTTCTGTAAAGTGCCCTAGCTTGATCATACTTTGAAGTGGTGAAAGAAGAGAAATGAAACACAAAAGTATCTTGGGAATTCAATTAATGATGTTTAAATAATTGCTCACATTTATTTTTCTGGAGTTCTCTACAAACTTTTCATATAACTTAAGTAAGTTTTGTTTGTACCTGCAGCTGCACGTAGAGTTTGAATTACATGACTGCCCTGATATGCAAAGCCAAAAGCATATTTATTATTTTAAATATTGAAAATCTAGCAAACTAGAATGAATGTAGGAGGTATGGCAGCAAGTTCAAAGATGACTTAAAATTGGAATGGTAAATAATCTAAGGCTGTCCCCTTCAGTATGGGACAGTGTAGATGGGGTGAACAGGTGGAATAGATGGGATGGCAAATGGAATATAATCCTGAAATGTGTGAGGAGATGTTGTTTTGGGAGGGCTAATGAGAAAAGTGAGTACACAATGAATGGTAGGAGTCCTGAAAGTACAGAGGATCGGAGGGACCTTGGAGTACACGTCCATTGATCCTTGAACACAGTAGGGTAGTTAGGTAAGATGGTTTAAGGCGGCATATGGGATACTTTTAATCAAGGCATTGAATCCAAGAGCAAGGAGGTTATGATGAAGCTATATATAATGTTAGGCCACAGGAGTACTGTGCAGTTCTGGTTGCAGCACTATGGGTGGGATCTTATTACATCGGGGACCGTGCAGAGGCAATTCGCCAGAATGTTATCTGGGCTGGACCAATTCAACTATGAAGAGTATCTAGATAGGCTGGGATTGTTTTCCTTGGAGCAGAGAGCGCTGAGTGAGAGATCTGATTAAAACGTACATAGTTCTAAAGGGCACAGATGAAGAAACACTTCCCCATGGAAGATTCAATATTCAGGTGGCACAGTTTTGAGATGTAAAGATTTAGAGGGGATTTGCGGAAATTTTCTTTCACCCAGAAGGTGGTGGGTATCTGGAAATATTTCCTGAAAGGGTAGTAAGGACAGGAATCCTCAAGGCATTTAAACTATTTACTGGAGTACTTGAAATGTCATAGTATTCAAATCTATGGGCCAAGTGCTGGAAAAGGGAATCGGAATAGATGGATGTTTGACTGGCACAGGTATGATGGACTGAGAGCATTCTTTCCAAGCTGTAAAATCTCTGTGACACTCTTAACTGTTTCCTTCAATCTGGTTTCATCCCAATTGAGGAGGAAAGGCAGAACTTTTGTTACATACAAGTTTGTACACACTGTCTAATCTTCTCCCATAACTGTTGTTCGTTTGACACTGGCCATTAGCTGATTACGTTAACTGGATAGGAAATCCTGCATCCCCGCACAACTGCATTCCTGCTCAACATCCACCTGCATGTATGAATTAACTAGTGTGTAAGAATAAACTAACAAGACAATTAGCCCATTTGGTCTATGTCAGTATTTGTGTTCAATGAGTCTCCACCTTCCCTGCTTCATTTAAATTATCTATTATCATAGAACATAGAACATTACAGCGCAGTACAGGCCCTTCGGCCCTCGATGTTGCACCGACCTGTGAAACCAATCTGAAGCCCATTTAACCTAAACTATTCCATTATCATCCATATGTTTATCCAATGACCATTTAAATGCCCTTAAAGTTGGAGAGTTTACTACTATTGCAGGCAGGGCATTCCATGCCCTTACTATTCTCTGTGTAAAGAATCTGCCTCTGACATCTGTCCTATATCTATCACCCTTCAATTTAAAGCTATGTCCCCTCATGCTAGCCATCACCATCCGAGGAAAAAGGCTCTCGCTGTCCACCCTATCTAATCCTCTGGTCATCTTGTATGTCTCTATTAAGTCACCTCTTAACCTTCTCTCTAACGAAAACAGCCTCAAGTCCCTCAGCCTTTCCTCATAAGACCTTCCCTCCATACCAGGCAACATCCTGGTAAATCTCCTCTGCACCCTTTCCAATGCTTCCACATCCTTCCTATTAATGCAATCATTTAGCAGTCAGGAACAGGAAATGGCTATGATTTTCCTGTCCTTCTCCAGTCCAGAAATGCTGAGGCTAAATAAAGCTGCACTGCTGTTCTCAAAGCATAGCTTAGCATAGCTAGGATTTGAAACTGGTTAAAATTAAACTCAGTAGCTTTTACCGTGGCATCTACTGGAGTTGAAGCAGCAATATACCAGGTTTCATGACAAATTGTAAATGAAAAAACAGTTTCAAGCAGAATTCACCACTGGTTTAACAGATTTCTAAATATGATGCATTCATTCAAAATCAGCAGCCTTGGAACTGAGGCCCTGCTCAAGTTTGGATTTTCCTGGATTTCAATTCAGGCCAGTCTGGTCAAGGGTTGCTAGTCAAGAGTGGGAATGAATCACTGCTTGAGCAGTGTAACAGATAACAAGTCCAGCACCATGCAGCGCTGAGCGAAATGCAAGAAATGTCGAAATGCAACTGTAAGCTGAATTTTTTTTAAAAAACTATGCACGGCATTTTGTGAAAATGTCTGAGTTTCAGACCTATCATTCTACTTCTTGATGCTTTTATCCACAGGTGTGGGGAATGTGCAAACACTTGCATTGTGTTATAGGTTGTTCTTTCCTACAAACTTTAAGGGCGTGTGTACTTTGTATGTTCATATAGTTGCATCTCTTCCTCCCTGATTCTGTTTACTTCTGCAGGACTTGATGATGATGAAAGTAAAAGGGATGATGGCATCACTTTTTCCACTCAGAGTGGTCCAGCCTGGGCAGGATCAGAGCGAGACTACACTTACGATGAGGTACAAATACAAATTGCATTGTGTGCATTGACGTATGCCCATTCTCTCTTTGCTGTTTTCCTCTTTTATTTCTCCCTTTTTGTGTTTTCATCTCAATTCATGTATTAATGGAACGAAGAGAAGAAAGAAATATTTCCTCAGCAAATGCTTATTGCAAACATTATTGTGTAGATGTGTTTTGGTTTGTTAAATTTCTTGCTGCAGGCAGCAGGTTCCTACATCGTGCTTTCCAGGCCACCTCCCATTTGAGACCTAAATTGCACTTGCAGTTGTGCTTATGTTAAAATCTAAGTATCTTCCCTTGATGTGTATTTCATCAAAGTAATGGTTAAAAACCATGTCCCCTCACCCTTTTTTACTGTCGACATGGCAGACCTTTGCCATGTTTACTTTGTTGAAACCCCACAATTCAAAGTCTCCATTTGAATGCTTTTGTGGCTGAAACTGATTCTGATCCCTCTCCACCCCAGTGCTGACTGTCTACCAAGATGCTGTTTCTCTGTCTTTTTATTGTACTGAAACCTCTGTGCATCACACCAACTTATTTTTCCTCCTTGGTTCAGTGTCACCCCAAAACTGTTGAGTATAGGAGTTGGGACGTCATGTTGAGATTGTACAGGACATTGGTGAGGCCGTTTTTGGAGTACTGTGTGCAGTTCTGGTCGCTCTGTTATAGGAAGGGTATTATTATATTTGAAGAGGGTTCAGGAAAGATTCACCAAGATGTTGCCAGGACTGGAGGATTTGAGTTATAAGCAGAGATGGATGGACTGGGACTTTGAGTGTTAGCTGCATGGTGACAATTCTCTTTCTCAATGTTATCAGTTTAGGCAAATATTCTATGCTGTGCTCACGACTGTGTTGCATGACTGTTGCAAAATCCAGAGCATTTCTACATTCCTGACTGATTTTCTCTTTAAAGAAGACATTATTCATAAAATAATGATACAACACTTTGATTCAAATGTTGATGCAATTCTATAGTCACTTAACAGTAATTATTGCTATGTAAAGCTCGTTTGTTTGTTTACATGATGTATGAATATTAATGAATTTTTACTGAGAAGTATGCACTTAACCACCATTGTATCTCTCTTTGCAAGCAGTGAGCCAGCCCATCTGTTTATCATCTTCTCTTACTGCAGTGGATATGACTATTTTGATGTTACTACTTTACTTTGCTCCTCAGACTTTTAAAAATATATCCATTCTCTTCAACATTTCTTTCAGTATTTGTGTAATTAGTGGGTCAAATTACATGTTAGTAGCACAAAGTCTTATGACATGTTCAAAAGTTCTACACTTGTGTTAGATGGTTTTATGTCTAACTGGCATAAATGTATTCTACAAGGCAGTAACAAATCTCTTGTCCTAACCATTGGTTCTCCATTGACTTGCAAAAGGAGTACATTTACGTATTTGTACAAAAATATAATGTGTATTTTTGAAAAGTGATTTCTGATGTCAATATCAAGTTTGTTTTCCATGTTTAGTTGACTGCTGTATAAACAGCACTGGTAGTGCATCTGACCTAAACGTTTAGTGAAAAGGGAGAAAAAAACCTGGGTGTTATTTCGGGAATTAGCAATTTTAGGTGTGTCTAACCAATAATTCTGTCATTCTACCCTAGAATAGATAATATAACTCCAGACAGCTTGACTGTTTTATTGAAGAATTTGCCACACGTATGTCTTCATAGCAGGAGTGCACAGAGTTTACAGTGCATGATTGAATTAAAGTATTTCTTACATTTTTTCTTAACACTTCGGTTGGTAGTCTCTCAATTTACCATAATCTGATACAAATTTTTATATTACTACATGAAAAATAATCTGTTTGAGCACTTCTGCCACCTTATTTCAGTCTTAAATACTCATTTCCACATTAGTAATAAAAACTTTTGCATAATGTCTATAGTGCTTCCGTAGAGCACTACCTTGATATTAAAATACTCATCTTTCTTTTCAAATCATGCCATGGCTTTGCCCCTTAAATTTCTAATATATGACAATCAATAAATAAACACGAATTCCTCAGCCCTACACCTTTCATGTGTTTGCATAGTTTCAGTTCTGGCTTGTTAAGCATCTCAGTTTTAATCTTTAGTTTTGCACGCACATCATTATTACTTAATATGTAACAATATATTTCTGCAAGATGCTTATGACTCAGGTCGTAGAGTCAGAGATGTACAGCACGGAAACAGACCCTTCTGTCCAACTTGTCCATGCCAACCGCATATCCTAAATTAATCTAGTTCCATTTGCCAGCATTTGTCCCATATCCCTCTTAAACCGTTCCTAGTCATCCAGATGTCTTCTAAATGTTGTAAATGTTATGAGATCTCTATCTTAACTAGTTTGTACAGTTTTGAATTACTTATCTCTTAGGTATAAGAGTCGCATGGCGAGGGTCTAACCAATCATGTTATTCCAGTCATTAGTTTGTCTCCAGCACCACCTTATTTTTAATTATTTGTAATTATCTCTCTGCCTCATTTAATCGGATTATAGGTCATCCCTTCGCTGGTTATTCAGCTGTTGACACTTTACTCACCATCTAACACTCTTGGTCACCTGCAGAGACTTATCTGACACTCCACTCACACCAGTTGTATGATCTTTTGATGTCTCAGCCCCTGATCTCTCTCTCTATAAACTGTGTCTGTGTGCTTTTCCCTCTCTCTGCACCTGACAAAGAGACTGCACTCCGAAAGCTTGCGATTTCAAATTAAACCTGTTGGACTGTAACCTGGTGGTGTCGGACTTCTGACTTTTTCCACCACAGTCCAACACCAGCACCTCCACATCTTGGTTTTGTTTGGTCCAACCTTGTGTTGCCTGTTGTCCAGGATTAATCTTGGAGTCTCTGAGATTTAAAGATGAATCTCCAGGTTCTTTAAATCCCTTTATTGGGAACATTGATTTGTTGTAATTGTGGAGGGACGTGAGTGGTGCCTGCTTGATTGATGGTTGGAGGTGAAAACCTTCAAGTTTGTATTCAGAGTTGAGAATTGAACTTTCAGCAAAAAGTTCAACTCCTCTTGACTACCTGTTCTACATTGTCACAGATGTCACTACAAAAATAAAAAATAAATGATTCTCTGAGAAATGAACATTTACAGCTGTATCTATCCCTTGTATGAAAGAAACTTCCAGTTATGTGGATCCCAGAAAGTTTTTATTCCCATAAGTGTTCAGTGCACACTCCTTGTTATCTCCTATAGATTTTGATTTCAAGCTAATTATTTACCTATTTTTCATGTGTCTATAAATCAGGGTGTAATAATTTGTTAATATACATTGTCACCTCCTGTACTGCAGTTGCTGACTCGTGTATTCAACATCATGCGAGAAAAAAATCCTGATATGGTGGCTGGAGAGAAGCGAAAGTTTGTAATGAAACCACCTCAGGTGGTCAGAGTAGGAACCAAGAAGACGTCGTTTGTGAATTTCACAGATATCTGTAAACTGTAAGTTTTCAGTACCAATCACTTCTTCAGCTGTGTTTTATTGTAGGTTTCCAGAGATCAATCTCAATATTAATCCAAAAAAGCAAACTCCAGATCACTTAACAAACTTTTGTTTATCATATTTGGATCCACAGATCGTCAAGGTCTACACTCTTATCCATTGTCTCTTGCTCCAAGATGTTCTTTGCCTTCATTTAGATTTTAGATGCCTTGCGCTATGGGTGTGTTGTCTTCTGTGAAAATGGACACTGTCTTCATTTAACACCTCTGCCATTTGCCTTGTCCTTTTAAAAATAATATTCTGTCTGGCATTCACCCGTACTACTTTATTTATTAAAATTTCATATGTTTTGATATTCCTTCCTTCTCTTTAACGTACCCTTGCACTTCTTCTCCCTTTGTGTCCCTTGCTGCTTTTTGTAGCTCTCCCATTCTATTAGTCTGCCTTTATACCACAGATATTTTAGTTCGGTTTTACCTATGGTTTGTTTATCATTGTTGTTTAATGCGACATATGAAGCCTTTGCTTTTTTTAACGCTTGTGTGCTTTTTTTGCACCAAATGCTGTTTATAATGCACCCCACATTTTGGAAAATCTCTGGTATGTTTAGGGTATACAAGATGGAAACATCCTAAATATACTGAAATATTTGAGAATATGTTCTGAAAGCTTTTCGGATGCAATGTAATGATTAAAGTGATATCATTGCTACCCAGTAAATTTTAGTTAATACCATAGAGATATTCTGTCTGTAAAGTTTCAATGTGTAGCTTCCCCCACCACCCCCCGTGCATAGGGTTACCCTGGAATGGGTCAATGCAGTAATTTATAAGTTGCTGCATGATCTAGTGCACCTTAGCAGGAGCATTACAACACTAAGGCACATATAGCTTTCTCCAAAATGAAAAGATGCAAAGGATTTAAGCATTTTTCAGCATTACTGAAAGCAACAAAAGTGCTTGTCATTTAATGGGAGGTGGCACGCAAGTTGTTTCTGGTTTGAGCACCAAATGAGAGTCTAAGAACACTGGTTCTTATATGCTAAGGTAGAATGATGTAGCTCTGAGGAATGGGATTTTCTTTGAGCAGAAATTGCATCTAGTTTGAATCAAACATGTACAAGCAAACAAAAACAAAGTTGCTGGCAAAGCTCAGCAGGTCTGGCAGCATCTGTGAAGGAAAAAAGTTAATGTTTCGGGTCCGGTGACCCTTCCTCAGAACCGCAAAGCCCTGATGCATCTGAATTGTGTATTAGATAGAAATTTATTGTTACTTTTATTTATGAAAAATACAGTAAAATGTCTGCAATTCACTCCTAAAGCAGTGCTGTTTAATTACACAAACTGTACATTTAACAAAAGGCAATGTTAAGACAAATATTTTTGTTCATCCCACAGCCTCTGTTGTGGGAACACCATACTAAACTTATTAATAGTGCCTGTTGTCCATGAGGGCCAAATAGACATGACAACAAGCACCAGTCCTGAGGAAACACCGGTAACATTTTGTACTGTCAACTTGAAATCATAGTTGACCTTTTTACATTTTGGGAAATGGAGACTGGTGACTCAGTTGGCAAGGAGGAGGCGCAGGGTGGTTCTTTAAAGTGCAGAATTTAAGTAAAATGTATTTGCCTTTCTAATGGGTTTTTCAAGACTGGAATCGGGCCCTGGAGAATGGACTAGTCAGACCATGTCTACTGAAAAGTCAAAGACTTTAAGGAGCCACAGAGTAATTAGTTCTGTGTCGGAGCTGCACGGCAGGTTTGTTGCCTTGGAGCTCTTGACTTCATAACTTCAGCTTTGTGACCTCAGTTTGAATTAGTAGCTGGCTGATCTCGCCCTTTTTTGCATTCCACTCTATATTTTGCTATTTGGATTGTGCCATTTGCCCTGTTGCTGTCAGGAACCTTGCCTCACCTTTCTTAAATGATAGAGTCCTTTCTGTACCTGTTCCTTTTTGGTGCTTTGATCCTGTAATGGCTCCTGTATTCATCTGATACCCTTCTTTGATTTTGTAACTAATAAAAGATGATGGAAGGATAGAGTTGCACAAACATGTAATGGCTCCAGAATGTTCTGTATGCTGTCTATACATTAAGTGAACCCTTGTGCCAATTTATATGGTTGTGATTCAACCAAGTGTATCTCATAAACTTCTATGATACAGCTGGAACTTTTTCTTAACCTGAGCAGAGCCTCTGCTTGACATGCTGAATCATACTGCTAGGTGTTACAATACAGAACTTTATTTTCTTTAAACTGTGCAGTTATTCTTTGTTCCTAAGATTCCAGTTTGTTAACAAAAGTTAAATTTCAGGTGGTGTCACTAGATTTAATTGGTTCAGGGAAAACAAATCTATGTTAGTTTTTTAATTTGGCCGCAAAGAAATTGCATTTGCATTTAAACAGTACCTCTCAGAGGCACAGAGACTCCCCAGAAAAAGCTCAGCAGCCAGGAAAGCACTTTAATGTTTAATCAGAGATAGTAAGAACTGCCGATGCTGGAGTCAGACAACAGTGTGGAGCTGGAGGAACGCAGCAGGCCAGGCAGCATCAGAGGAGCAGGAGAGTTGCTGTTTAGGGTCGGGACCCTTCGGGGGGGAAAAAAGGTTAGGGTTAGGGTCAACTTTCCTTAATGTTTAATCAGTTTTGCCACAGGCGAGCATGTCAGCCAATTCACAAACTGAAGATATTTTCTAATCAACTTGATGAGATATGTTATCACACCTTTTGGAGCAGGTCAGACTTGAACCCAGGCTTCCTGGCTCAGAGGTAGGGATGCTACCACTACTCCAGAAGATCCCTTCTAATTAACATGCTGTATAAATCCAAAGTTGGATTAAAACCCCTGCGATTGACAATGAACAATTGGGTTACTCGAGTATTTGTGGGTCTTGTGGGACGTACTGACTACTTGTTTGGATGAGTGTAGCTACAAGATTGCTCAAACTACCTGCCTGGTTTGTTTTTTATCTGTTCATGGGCAGTGGGTGTCACTGGCTGGGTATTGTCCTTTCCTAACTACCTTTGAACTGAAGGTTCTAGTTAGGGGATATTTCTGTGGGTCTGGGGTCACATGTAGGCCAGACCAGGTGGGGCAGCAGATTTCCTTTCCTAAAGGGCATTCGTGACCCAGATGGGTTTTTAGGACAGTTGACATGATCGCTGTTAGACTAGCTTTTTAATTCCAACTTTTTATTGATTTCACATTTCAACACGTTTGCCACAGTGGGATTCAAACCATGTTCCCAAGACATTAACCTGGGAGTGTGGACTGCTAGTCATGTAACATTAGCACTGCACCAGCTTCCCCTGTGGCACCACTTTCACAAGCTTGCAGTCGCTCCACCACCTCACTGAGGTGCAACATTTTTTCCATCTGCACAATGCACCACAGAATTTCACCAAGGCTCTTTTGACGTCTGCTTCCAAATTAATGTTCACTAGTATCTAGAACAAATGAGTGGCAGGTACATGGGAACACCAGCAGTACCTGTAAGTTCTCCTCTAAGCCATTCAGCATCCTGATTTGGAAGTATAAGATCATGTGAAATAGGAACAAGAGTAGGCCGTTCAGCCCCTCGAGGCTACTCTACCCTTCTGTAGGATAATGGCCGATCTGATTCTCCCCATATTCACTTTCCTATCTTTTCCCTATAATCCTTGATTCCCTTCTTGATCAAGGATCTGTCAAAATATGCACAAGGACTGTGCCTCCACAGCTGTCTGTGGCAAGGAGTTCCAAAGGTACTCAACCACCCGTGTGCCCTTTATTCTGAGACTATGCTCTCTGATCTTAGACTCTCCCAAGGACTTAGCCTGACAAGCCCCTTGGGAACGTTTTGATGAGATCCCCTCTCATTCTTCTAATCTCAGTGAGCAGAGTCCCAGCCTATTTAGACTTTGCTTATAAGACAATCCCTCCATTGCTGGGATCATCCCAGTGAGCTTCTCTGAACTGCTTCCAATAAAATGATATCTCTCTTTAAGTAAGGGGACCGAACTCCTCTCACCACAGATGTGTCACCAGGACCTTGTACAGTTTCACTAACAATTCAGTTGCAGTAAGACTTTTCTACTCTTGTACTCCTTTGAAATAAAGGCCAACATTCCATTAGCCTTCCTTATTACCTGCTGTGCCTGTCGGCTAGCTTTGTGTTTCATGCACAAGTACCCCCAAGTCCCATTATGTTGCAGTATTCTTCAGTTTGTGTCCATTTAAATAATGCTGTTGTTTTCCCTTCCAAAATGAAAAACTTCTCATTTCCCCACATTATACTCTCATTTGCCAACTACTTGCCTACTTATTTAATCTATCAATATCTCGCTGGGAGCTGTTTGTAACCTCTCCACAACTTGCCTTTCCACCTATACATCTCTGTTCCTTCAGTGTCACTGGTTCAAAATCCTGGAATTTCCTCCCTAATGGCATTGTGATCTACCAACAGCACATGGACTGCGGCTCAACCGCCACCTTCTCCTGGATAAGGTTCTGGCAATAAATACTGGCCCAGCCAATGACGCCCATATCTATGAATAAAAAGACTATATTTTCTTTTTGGAAAGTGGCATAAAACATCTTTTGTTCTCTGTTCTGTCAGATTCTTTTAAAATTATTCTGCTTAAACAGATTTACTTGCAGGCATTATTTGAGGCCATTATTTGAGGAGCTGAAGATGGTCTGTTATTAAAGATACAGGTATTAGTCCCAGGGTTACTTGTTCAAATTCCTTGTGAGCCTACGTCTCTAAGATATCATCAGCTCCTCTTGTTTAAATCAGAGTTTTCAAACAATTTCTATGGAAAGAGAACAGAGAATATTAATAGTTTTTGTACAGAACCCAACAATACTAGGAATGTTCAGATTTGATGGCAGTGATGGAACAGAGTCAGTATTTCAAATTCCAATGACTTTTTGTCAGGACAAATGAAATAACCAGTTTCTGATGAATAGTTATTGAACAGAAGTATTGGACCCTATTCTATTGATGTTAGAATGAAGCATTTCTGAAAAATACCAGTATCTGTAAAGCCCACCCCCCATCTTCCATTTTTAAAAAAAAATGTCTTGAATCCGTTGTTCATTTTTGATGCTTGTCTGGATAATCACCACTTGTTTCTCTGGTTATTTTAGAAGTTCTGTGTCTAATAAAAACAATGGGTCTACACTGGTGTTGTGTATGACATTCTGTAATATCATGTTGTAATATTCAGTTTTAAACCTGTTTGGTATATGTTAGCCTTGTTTTTAAAAGTATATTTGGCATTAATTACTGATGCAAGGAATGGCTTTTTAAAATATTTTGTCAAAATAGCCTCATTCTGATTGAGATGGATGGTAATTATCTTTGCAACAGACCTTTCAACTCAACTGGGAAGGTCTGGAAGACTTCATTGACTCTTAAAGAATGCATCATTACCTCAATAACTAAAGCATACATGGCTGTAGAGCTGTAACTTGCAAGTTTGTATTTGACATCAAAACAATTCTTTGATTTTTTTTTAAAATTTCCTGATCTTAGGCTACATCGTCAACCAAAGCATCTTCTGGCATTTCTGTTGGCTGAGTTGGGTACAAGGTAAGAAGGTGTTTTTTTTTTAAAAGAATTCTATAACTAAACTGTGTATAATGTGAGTTGAAACACTTCAGTTCTTTATGAAGGGTGGAAGAGTGTTGGGAGGGTTTGTTAGGGGAACAAAGAGGGGAAAGATAGGAATCCAAGTGGTCCCTCTGTTTTGATGTGATTGTGACAATGTCTGCTGAGCTGTTAAATTCATCGACCATAGACAAAATTCTGAAGTGCTCCAGTGCAACAGATTTTTGAGAAGAGAAGCAACAGAGAAGGAAATTTACATTAACAAGATACTTCTGCTCAATGGCATATAGAATGCAGAGAGCTTGCCTTGTGATGTCCTGATCCTTGAGTATGCATCTGCTTAACAATGAGAGAGAAAAATCTGTTGAAACTATAACATCTCTCAGCTGGCACACAAAGATACTGCCAATTTACACGCAAGGATCAAAATTTCTTTTTACTCTTCTAAACTTTCTTTTTCCTTTCCTAAACTTGTTTTTTTCCCTCAAGTTTTAATTGCTTCATTCACCAAACTTGCATACCTGTGGTAACAGGAATATCCTTTCTAGAAAAGTGGGATTGAGTTTTCAATGAGCTGGCTTGTGGCAGGGTGGGTGCAGTGTTCCACGTGCATTGCCTGGCATGCTGTTTGTGTACAAGGCATCCTGTTTCTATCTAAATGACTCTGAGATGTCGAGACTTGAACTGCTCAAGCAACCGGGTTGTGTCTTAATTTATTTCATCAGACTTTTTCCATTCAGCAGTGTGTATGCCAGCTGCTGAATCACCCTATCTGCTTGCAATTGAGGTATCATTCTTAGCCCCGCCCTGAAAATCACAGTTGAGCTCAGATACTGAGGAAACGGACCCAAATCACCAATATTCTATTGTGATAACGCACATTAATAATTTCATTTTTGGACACCTCTAGAGCATTTGTCCAAAATTATATTTCCTTATCCTGTCTCCCCATGCACCTATCAATCCATTCTTTGCTCTTCTGGATTGGTTCCCCAGTGACATTAAGAACAGAATTTGTCTGAAATTTCCTTGTAGCTTTGCCGTATTTTATCTTGCCACCACCACCAGTCGTGTATCTTTGAGAAATTATTCCTCTGCCTCATGTGGAGCTTCGACTCATCGTTGTAGGTTGACTGACATAACTCCGTGGTGTGGAAAAGTCTGCTTAAACCACTCCTGCTCCTAAACCCCTCAAATCCATTTCTTCACCTTCTTTAAATATTTCGGCTTTCCGAAATATTTACTTTGTCCTGGTATGTAATGCTAATCAGCTGAGTAGTTATCAACATCTTGAACTGTTATTTGATCAGTGCTTATGACTTTCCATGTCATCTACCTAATACATGCTGTTTCCCTTTTACTTGCTGCATGTGGTGTTTAACGTGTTACTTAGTTAAATGTTCTGATCTATGATGTCACCACCACCACAACTTTCAGGCACTGGCGTTCAGCAAAAAACATTGGTGTGTCGGACAAGTTGTGGCTCTGTAGTAAAGATGCCAATAACGTGCTAATATTTGTGAAGAATTTGAGATTTTTTTGTTTCTTGTTCACATGCAAAAACTATTGAGTTGAAGCTACAAATCCATCCCTTGTAATGCACTTATTCAGTTTCCTGCCTGACTCGGCAATCCCTCCTAACCAGGTGAAAGACGTTGAAACCCCATCCTCCCCTCCCACCTGATCAAGTAGTCTTAAGCATGGAGAGCTAATATAAGGAAATAATAGTGCTTTGAAAAATTTTGACACTTCTAAAGCAGCTAAGGTATGATGGCAATTGAAGCATGTAGAATCATCAAATGATTTCATCACAGATGCCATTCATGCATGCACCAGGTCTTTGGAAATATCTAATCTGCCCCTTTCCTCTGCTGTTTGTCCTTCTTGGTGTGATACAAATTTCTGCTTCAAGAATTTGTTTCCCTTTGGAAACGTGCCACGGAACTTGCTTCCACCACCCTTGCAGAAGTTGTCCTTGACTAACAATTTCCTGCCTAAGAGAAAAGGAAATTTCACCTTGTTTTGCCTCTGGTTCTTTTGCAAAGACCTGAAATCTGTGTTCTCTGGTTACCATCCTTTTGCCACTGTAGGCTGTGAGATCCGGCAAGATTAAGCAAACTGGGAGGAGATGTGCACGTGGATCATTAATGCTGTCATGGGCCATTGGGGTAATTGGTTTATTTGGTTTAACTTCTGTGCAATTTTTTGGCCGATTGTATGCCAAGTTAGGCCTATTCCAACATCACTTTAGTATTTGCAAAGTTGGCATGGTGGTATTGAAACCTAAACTAGTATGCTATTTTCTTTCAAATCACTTTGGAAAACCTGTTTTCCGTTGACTGGCTATTCGCTTGGAAAAGGGCTCATTAGAGTTTTGTGCCTGAGCTCTTAGCAACCTGCTGGCTGCGTTAAAGGAGTTGATGCCTGAGTTAGTTTCTGGTAGCATTTGCTTTGAGACCATGTGCACACCATCCTTTGGTAAAATCATTGCATTTGTTTTCTTTGTGAAAACCAAAGTATTATAAACAAATCAAAAAATACTTGCCAATAAAGCCAAAAAGTGGCTTTTAAATTTAATCAGGGTGATCAAAGGATTGGGATGGAATTTCACTAAACCAGCCTCCGAGCATACAAAAGGAATTAATTTGATGAGAGCATCAACTGTCTAGATATTTATTGACCTGTAAGGGCTTTGATTTTTTTTAAGAATATTCTGTAAATGCGAACTGTTGACAACTGCTTTGAATGTGATCGATTTGTAAAATAAACTTTTAACTGAGAATAATAGTGTCAGTCATGTAGCCGCAGCAATGAGTACAGTTTCAAGTCAGGATTTTGGGGTAAGCTCGTGACACTGTTTACCTACTTGTCACCTAACAGCCTTAGTGGTCCACTGCCATTTCTTTGGGAAATTTGGGAAAGGTAATTGAATAGCTTTTACATGTACCCTGGCAGAATTCAACGCAAGGCACCATCGCTGTCAGTAATGCAGTCTCAGTAAATAATACAAAATTGTTAATCAAATCTTGTCCATTTTAGGTAATAGGAAAAAGAATCAGATGGACGGAATTGTTCCTCCACAGCAAGTTGTTATGCATGGTCTGGAACCAGATTCAAGTGTAACTTTCTGAACAGAATAGGGAAATATTTTTGCCATGATTGCAGGCTTTAGAGTAGGAGAATGGGACTAATTAGATAACTATTTCAAAACATCCACCACGAGCAGGAAGGACAGAACATATTGTTTGCTTCTGTTTTCTGCATCATTTTCTGAGAAATGTGTGAAGGCACTTCACCTGCAACATTTATAAGCTCACCTTTCTTTCAGCACTGAAATAAGAGTGATCTACTTTTACATGTTGGTTGAGAAAGACTGATCAGAAGTCTTCCCCATTCTGAAAGTGTGGTCAGTCTTTTATGTTCAGCTATCAGACTAGGAAGACGTCTCAGTTTAATATCTCGATGACCTCCACATTCTTTCAGTAGTGTCTACTTTACCCTTTATAATATTTTGAGGCAAATCCAAATATATGTCTTAGCCCAACCATTTGAGGAAGTAGCGTGGAAGATTGATGGCAATGCAGTTGATGTAGTCTAGTCAGGATTTTGCCAAGCCCCATGTAACAGCGATTGATTTTTCTTTTTAAAATGCCATGTGAAATGGGGAATCTAGCAAGCTAGTCCTAAAATTGGCTCATTATTAGAAGGGTTGACTGGTACTTTTGCAACTGGAGGACTTGCTATTAAGACCCCTTCTTTTTGAGGTGTATGTTAATGATTTAGATGTAGATGTTTTGGGCATGACAAGCTTGTAGATGAGACAAATTGGCTGCGTGGTTGATACTGAGGATGGAAAGGTTATACTGCAGGAAGATATTGATGGATTGATCAGGTGGGCAGAAGAGTGGCAAATGAACTTCAATTGAGAAGTAAGGGCTGAGGCATTTAGGGAGATCAAACAAGGCAAGATAATTCATCATTAATGGGAGAACAGAGGTATTGAGGGAATGAGCACCTTGAAGATAGCAGGACAGGTTGATAAGGTTACCAACAAAGCATGTTGAATCCTTTTAACTGAGGAATACAAGAGCTCTCCTCTTGCAAATACTGCTGTATTTGAGACTCTGTCGGCCTTGTGCATCAAGCATTTGAAATATTTGTGACAAATTTAAATGCTAATATTTTACTTGACACTGAGCTTTTGTTTTCTTTTTAATAGTGGATCCATTGACGGCAACAATCAGCTTGTAATTAAAGGGAGGTTCCAGCAAAAACAAATAGAAAATGTATTAAGGAGATACATCAGTGAGTATCATGGATGTTCTAATTTATTCATATGGAGGCACAGAAATTGTTAGGAAACTGGGTTTTTTAAGGATAAATTATTGACCATCAGGAATGTAGATAGGGCTCTAGGGGGACTTCACTGAACTCTGTAAAATAAAAATCAATTGGAAAAAATGATTTTTATTAATTATATTTCCCTTCTAATTTCTCTGTTTTATTCCTCTTAATTTTCTGGTCTGGGTTCACCTCTCCCTCTGTTGTGCAAAGTAGTGTTGCAGTATTAGAGATGGGGTGATTGGCACTCTGTTATAGATGTACAATTTGACTTTTTTGAACAGCTATTAAGTTTGTTTCAAAGGTGATCTTAAAATATCCTGGTTTCTTTGCATTGCGTAATAGATTGGGCATCTAAGTGGCTTTTGTTTCTTTGGCCTTGCTGTCCCATTATCCTACAATCAAATATTTAAACAAAAATTAAAACAATTACAGATGCTGGAAATCTGAAACAAAAACAGAAATTGCTGGAGGAACTCAACAGGTCTGGTAGCAGCTGTAAACAGAGAAGCAGAGTTAATGATTTTAGTCCAGTCACCAGATTCTGATGAAGGGTCAAGGGACTCGAAATGTTAGCTTTGCTTCTCTGCTGCCAGGCCTGCTGAGTTCTTCCAGCACTTTCATTTGTACTACAGTCAAATGTTTGTTAGTCTTATTTATTTTGCTGTGTTTCAGTGATTCGTGGCTAGGCAATGTTGACACTTGCAACAAAAGCAGAAATTGCTTAATAAATTCAGTAAGTCTGGCAGTATCTGTGGAGAAAGAGCAGGGTTAACCTTTCCGGTCCAGTGATCCCTTGAAACCATTTTGAAGAAGGTCACTGGACCTGAAACATTAACTCTGCTTTCTGTGCATAGAAGCTGCCAAACTTGCTGTGTTTTTCCAGAAATTTCAGTTTCTGCTTTTGATTTCCAGTGTCCGCAGCTCTCCGTTTTTTTTTAACTTTTAATCTTTGACATTTAGGTTTGTTTGTCATCTAAAAAAACATATTAGAATTTTACTGCATTTCCTGTGAAATATTTTCTAACTTGCATTTGTATTTTTATCCTGTTCCCCCTCTTCCCTGCCGTTGCCATCCCATTGCAGAGGAGTACGTAACCTGCCATACCTGTCGATCGCCAGACACCATCTTGCAAAAGGACACACGGCTGTATTTCTTGCAGTGTGAAACTTGTCATTCTCGCTGCTCTGTGGCCAGCATCAAAACCGGCTTCCAGGCTGTTACTAGCAAGCGTGCACAGCTCCGTGCCAAAGCACATTAACCTAAACCTTAACCACTGGAGGGAACAGGAACTGGGAGTTTAATGTAATAGGACTGTTTTACCAAACAAGGGGTGGGTTTTAAGCAGATTAAAATACAACAATAAAATGCTGCTGACTCGGGAGGGTGGGGAGGAGGAAAATAAACTAATAGTGAGCATTGTTCTATGAAGTCCTCCTGAACCTCAGTGTATTGTAACAGTACTGTTGCACTGCTCTCTGTTCATATCTTGTCCAGTCTGCAGTATAAATGCAGGAAGAAAATTGCCTTTTATACCTTGTAGGCTGCTGGAAGTACAGCTCAATTTCCTGGAGCTTGGAAGTGATTCACTGAATGTTGTTTAAGTGTGCATAATTTCTTTTTGATTATACCTCACCCTGGCTGGTTATTTTCTGTCTGGCTACTGTATTGTTTTTTTAAACAGGGAGGGTGGGGAGGAGGGGAGATGACCAAATTACGCTAAATAAGTTTAGAAATTTATTAAACAAATTCCCTGAAAATATTTAAAATTGTGGACTTTTTAAATTGATTCCATCTTTAAGTTGAAATCTTTCTGATGCCAGGGTGAGGCCTGAGTTGCAAAGCATAATCTACGCTGATTTTTGCAGTGGCGTGGAAGGTTTATCCATATTTAGCCGCAGATTGGTTTGGAGGGGGTTTTAAAAACGTGACACCTTGTTGAACTGATTACAGGCTCTGGATTGTACATCATCCGGTGACAAGCGTGCAAGAAAAATATGTAATAAAATAGTAAAACTAGTGGTTAACAGCCATTCTCCTCTGCTTCTGGTAATGTTTGACCCAAGCTGACTCTTGTTGAGCTGGTTGTGACCATCAGCCACTTCTAGCACGTTCAAAGTGTAGGCACCAACTTGGAGGCTAGCAGCAAAGGTAAGATCTCTCTTGCAGCTGTCTATTCTCCAAACTGCAAAACCAAAGGGAGCCACTTGCCTTTGTGCAGCATAGGCGATGTGTTTCACGTTGGCGAGGGGTGGTGGAAGTGTCTTTATGTTAATGCTTTGCAGAAGCCTGTGCAAAAACAGCCCTCCACTGGCTGTAACTGTGAATCAGCTGTATATTGGCTGAATTTTAACCAGGCCACTGCCCTGCAGTGAGGCTATACAGTTTCCCATTTCAAGGACATCGTAAAATCCAGTGGCAAGTTCAAAGTGAATGTTTGATTGCGGATAGGAAATGTGAAAGAAGTTGGACTCCTTAAGACTTGGGTCTCAATCAGAATTATTTTATCTTTGGTGCTTGGATTATTTAAGGAATTGCCTGCAGTGGCATATCAGTCTGTCCTCATTACACTCCTCTTGTAAAAATCCCTCATTCACACATTACTCCTGTTGAACACAGTTTGTTTAGTAGGGTTTGGCTTCAGGAGGGATAACTAAAAAATAACTACTATTCAGATCTGCTCACCTAGGGTGCACTTCAAGACCATGACTGAAGCATGAACAATACTTGACATGATCTCAAAGACAAAATCCCATCCTCTAACCTTTGGATACATGGTCAAGTCCAAACAGTTTTCAGATCTGAATGGAAAGCATGTGAATTTGCTTTAAATTTGTACAGGTGCTGGGTCTTAATATCAAATTTTTCTACCCGGTCAGCAGACAGTTGGATGTGAGGAATAGAAAAATGTTTCTCTAAAATGCATTCCTGCAATAATACATTGTAATTAGTGCAAGTTAAGTCAGGTCACCTTTCCTGATTACAGGGGAAAAAAAAGCATTGCTGGTGTAAAAACTGGAGAAAGAAACATTTGTGTCTTTTAACACCAAGTTAGTAAAAGCTGACAAAAATTGGGTTGCATTTCTGGTTGGAAAGGAGCAAAGAATAAAGTCAAAGTGTGGGATGGCAGAGGTAGCCTTTGCTACATTAGCAAAGTTGACCATTTTACAGAGTTTGCATGAGCAGACTAAACATGTTTACATTATTATCAGTTTTATTTGCTCTAAAGTAGAGACTGTACGCTTCATTTTTGAATTAGCTTACTGATTGTTACTCACACGGATCCTCTGAAGATCTAAAAGCAGTAATAAGCTTTTGAAGTAAACCACATACACACACATTCCCTGCTCAGTATTTTGAGGTCTTTTTGAGGCTGTTGAGACCTGAGAATGGATATAGTAGTTTTGTCTCCATCCATTTTAACATGAGTACATAAGGATGCTTTACTGACTTTGTCTTTGCCTTTTCTTCCTAAAATTGACACTAAGAAATGTTATAGGTGCTGAATAAAGTGGTTTTTGTAACTACAATGCAGCACACTGAAGTCAGTTATTTTGAAATAAGCTGCTACATTATTCCCAGATCGTGACGTACTTGGTAAAAATAATCTGCTTGCCCCAGTGTTTGAAAAATAAATCAAAAGATCTTTTGTAGACTAGTCTGTTACAATTCAAAACTTGAGCTACATCAGAGTCTTCAACTTGCATTGTGTTGGGTGGGATGAAAAGAGCACTCATGACTTTATTTTCCTTTTTGGCTGTGAATCAAAGTTGGATTGACATATCCCAAACCATTTTAAGTTGTGTACCTCAGTGAGAATAATACATCTGGAACACATCGCAGAGCATAACAACAGGAATGAGCAGGGTTGAATTAACTTGAATACATGTACCGAATTGCAATGGCTACAATGTAGAAGACAGCTATTCTTGTCTGTGCTGGGCCCTCTGAAGTAACCATTTGGCTACTATTGCAGTCCCCATTGTTTGTCAAACTCGCTCTGAATGTTCATGCTTTGCAGATATTTTTAAAGTCATAAGTGAGCTACTTTAATAATGGCCACATAGGTGTGTTTGGATATGTGTGTTGATCTAGTAATCAGGGGATGGAGAGTTCAGATCTCAGCAGTGCCTTGATTTATGTCTCAGTTAAGACCAGTTTAAAACACCTCAGGTGCAAAGTGCAACCTTGTCATGATTCTGTAGCAAAGAGGTTTTCACATTCACCTTGTGTGTGAAATGTTCCTGAAGAGAGGCATTATCGAAAAATATAAACAAGTGCAGGAAATTAGCACACCTTTAGTGATAGTTATGTCAGTGCAGACTTGATGGGCCAAAGGGCCTTTTCTGTGCTACATGAGTGTAACTCCTGTACCAGCTCTATCATCACCATGATATTCAAGGGGTCTCTCACCAGAATTCAGGCAACTCGTAAGAATGATGAGTGTCAGCTTTGTTAATGTTTGTTAGTACTTCATTATGAATTGTAAGAAAATAGCCTTGCACTTTGAGCTGCATCAACCCTGGGTTGGATCAACAGTGAGTGCAGTCGTTATGCCTCACAAGGGTCCTGCCTCAAAATGCACATGTGGCATTGTCAGGTAAAGGAATAGGAGTATTTACTGGCTGTTGGCTTGTTAAGATCATTTGGCCACAGTAGTAGTAGATCTATCAATTTGAAGCCCTCTTGCTAAGGCGGGAGAGCTTCCATGTCAACCTGTGTAGAGTTGTTGGTAGTTATGATTTTTGATTAAAAAATCTCATTAAGCACATACTTCTCCTATGTTTAGAAACTATACATCCTTGGGCTGCTTATTTGAAGTGTATGATACTGACTACAGACCTGAAGGTGTCTCACTTGAATGTGTTGAATTTACTAGCCGTATGTGACACAGGCCCATAATAATCTCTTGGCTAATGACTCAGCAAGGATATAGTGAGTGAGGAAGATGATTCAAGAAAGGGTATAAACTGGCTATGGTGCAGTGGTACTATCCTTATCTCTGAGCCAGGAGGCCCAGGTTCAAGTTCCACTTGCTCAAAGGGTGTATTATAAACTGACCACGGTTAGCAGGAAGTTAATGATAGTGTCAAATTGAAAGAAGAAAACATACATTGCGGCAAAAATTAGTAGTGAACTAGAGCATTAGGAAAGTTTCTTTGCTTGTCGTGTTGGCTTTGAAGAGGGTGGAAAATAAACATTGCAGGCAAAATAGCAAGTGATGTGAAAACAGACTTTTAAAAAAAAAAGGAAGAGAACCTAAAGGAGAATGCAGCTGGGGAGAGGATAACAGGAACAAGGAAATGGCAGGGAATGTTAATAAAATCTTTGCATCAATCTTCACAGAAGACAGTAATAGCATTTCAAAAATATTAAGTCGAGGGGATAATGAGGTAGTAAACACATATAAATAGTATATAGCACCTTTTCTTCCTGCCAAAGTGCCACCTCACATTTTGCTGCAATATATTCTATCTGTTAAGTTTTGCTCACTTGCTTAATCTGTCTATATCCTACTGTAGAGTCTGTCATCTTTACTACTTCCCACCTATTCACTAAGTCATTAATGTATATTGTATACAATTGGGGTCCCAGTGCTGATTGCTGTGGCACACCATTGGTTACAGATTGCCATCCTGAATTGCCACCTTTGCCTCGATTTATATCTTTTATTGGTTAGCCATTCTCTATGCTGTTACACTGCCTCAACAGCATGGCTTCTTATTAAGCAGCCTAATGTATGGTACCTTCTATCAAGCACTTACTGGAAGTCTAAATAATCAAGTAGTGAATCTGTGGGAGTCTTTATTGTAGAAGGCTGTCAGGCTAGGTTGTTAGATGTATTCAAGGATGAGATAAATCTTCAGTTAGTAAGAGAATCAGGAATTATGGGGATAAGACAGGAAAATGAAGTTGAGGATCATCAGCTGGGCTGAACAACCTACTTCTGCTCCTACATGTTTTGGTCGATGCCCACTGCGCTAAGCAGATATGCCATTAATTCAGGGGCAATTAGGAACAAGTAATAAATGCTGACCCATCTAGCAATATCAACATCCTTTTTTTTAATAAACACATTATCAGAATCCAAATATACCCTGCAGACAATGCTTCACTATCATAATGGAAAAGGTTTGTGGTTATAGAGATTTCTGGATCCAAATTCTGTTTTTCCAAACAAAAGGAAATCTACAGTGGTTCAAAACCAAACAGCAACTTGCATTTGTATAGCACCTTTAAAATAACAAAGCAGCTTGAAGTGCTTTCCAAGAATGTTATCAAAGAAAAGTTAAGACTGAATCACATGAGAAGGCTGCTGAGCCTGGTAGGCTGGATGAGCTCAAATTTATGGGGGTAGGAGGTGCTCTGGGGGAGAATTTGAACTGAAATCCAGAAGTAGCAAATATTGAGTTGATGTAATTGGTTAAAATTGCATTTTCTGGCGTTGCCCTCCTCTTTTGCTGCACAATTCTATGGACGTGCAAATAAAGAGAGTTTGAAGACTGTCAAATTGGCCAGCTTTCAATAAACTCCTGCCTGTTCTCATTAGTATCAGTATGCAGGAATCCCTAATTTCAAATGGTCACTATTAGTCAAAGTGGGGAGATGAGGCACTTTGTAAGATAAACTAGATGTCAATTATGAAAAACCAGATAAGGATATTAAATCAGCCCCTCACGTCATCTGGACTAATTAATAACCAGTGGTTACTTTGAGACTCTAATATTCAATTACAGTTGCCAAGTTTCCAAGTCATATCTTATCGTACCTGACTATTCCCATTTACCACTGGGAATAGATTATTTTCTAAATGTAATCACTGAGCCCCACACTCTGATCTACAATTATTGTCTCCTTTTAACATTCCCAGCTCAAACTCCAAAAACACTTTTTTCTGGGGACATGATTTTGGAAATTATACCACATTTGGATTTAATATTGACCATGGTAAGATAGTGAATTACTGTTATCAATTAAGTTTACAGTGCAGACACCAAATTTTTTGCTAAATCTATTATTCATAGGACTCAAGCAATGCAGGCAAGCCCAGCATTTATTGTTGTTCCCTTATTACTCCGAAGAAGATAGTATTGAGTCACTTTCTTGCACACTGTGGGGTACACTTAGGAAGGAGGTTCCAAGATTTTGACTCAGCAGAAATAAAGGAAATGGTGATGTACTTCCAAGTAAAAACTGATCTTGTTCTTCTGTAACTTCAGGAAGCTGAGGAACCTGTTCATTTGTCTGAAGTGCATACTGTCCTGTCAATCAATGCAATTCTCTGATTGTTGCCATAGCAATCACAGTTTAATTTTCTGTCTTTTTCTTTAAACACAAGAATATTTTAAAGAAAAGTAATACTGCCAGCTTAAAAAAATAAAGTAAGATACAATTCACAAATCACAATAGATTAATGATAAACTTATTCAGAACAATGGCAGGAATTGAAAGGTTGAAGAGTTGATTGAGGCAGGGACAGAAACAGTTTGGTAAAACAGATCTGCAGATTATGGTGCAGTTTGCAACTTGCCAATCATTTTTAATGTCACAGAGGATGAAATTTCATTTTCGAATCTCTGAAAGGCCTACTCCTACTCCTACTTTGTGTATGCTTATACAACTTACCACGGAGTGTATTTGCAGAAAGGAAATATCAGATAAGGACCTCTTGGCTGCAGCAGGACCATCAGTTTTACTCTAGTTCATGGGGATAATGTGCGTTACCAACTCTCCAACATTGCTCTGGAATCTCCGGGAGCAACAACATTCCAGAGAGAAAATAATTCAAACATATTCGTCATTTTCTTTTGGTCACTTCTGCTTATTGGTTGCAGAAGGATTTGGGACAGGAAGACAGAAGGGCTGTGAGTTTTGTTACCAGTTGGATATTACTTCCACTTGTCTTTTTTGCTTTCCATTTGGCCGTGGGGATGATGGGGACTGCGAGAGCGGAGATGTTGAACAGCCAATGACCAAAGTGAGAGGCCCAGGATGTCTGGAGGAAGTCGTGTGATGAAACCTCCAGGAATATATCTGAGCAGAGTTGGCCACCCCTAGTGGGATGTGGGTGGGCAGTTAGATCGTAGACCTATCCCACTGGGTGTAAGAATGTAACTCCTGGGAGTCAGGGTTGTGGGTTTGTGGGGTGGAGGTGTGAGGGAACCGTGGAATGATTCTGCCTTAAACTAGCAACAATGGTCTCAATATCATCGAGGGTTTGGGTGGCGAGTTCAGTTCCTGAACACGCCTGGCAGTGAACATTTGAGCCAGGACAAGGTAAAGTTCTTAAGTGGCTCTGACACTAGTTCACGGGTAAAATGGTTGGCTGAGTGTCCTGGAAATGTTTAGGGGAGAAGGACAAAAAGAAAAAAATTTTGGAGAGGGGAATTCTTTTCATGAAATATGTGACAGAGATTCTCGTGTGATGAAAGTTGACGACAACATTTGTACTTATCAAGAAGGTGGGAGCAGTGAGTTTTCAATCTGATACTTGTCACAAATCCTAGAGAGTCTTGCTGTGATAGTGAGCCTACAGTCTTGCCCACAGTGTGTGGTGTTTCTTGCAGCAACTTCTATGGCACACCAGCAGATTTTGAACCTTTCTTCAATGATGCAGGATCAAATGCCTAAATGTTTTACAGATGTCCCCTCATCCACTTGGTGTAGTTGAGCAGAAGGTAGCATACTCTGTATTTGTTTTTCTCTAAATTATGTGTCGAGCTCCTCGGTTGCATGTGGTCTCCCCATTACTCGGAACCTGCTGGGAACCACCACTTTGCAGTCTGTAAAATAAAAAGACAAATGACAGACACTAACACAAGAGGCAATACATCTAATCTGTCAAAGGTTCACAACATAATTGGGAATCACCAGGAATAGCATTAAACGCATTGATGATTTTTAATCTCAGAAACCCTGATTGAATGGCAATTCAGGGATGACTCAACTTTTCGTTCTCCTGGTTTTTCTTGGTTTAGTTTTGCAATCTAATAAAATTAATATTCCAGATTTTTTTTTCTTTTCAGTCCCCTAACTCTATGCATCTCAATAAGATCACCTCATATTCCTCCATTCAGTGTAAAATAACCCAAATCTCTCTATTCTCCGTAAAACTCACAGCCTGATTAATCTCACTTTCCTAAACTGCCTTAGCACTTGAATATCCCTCTGTCTTTTGACAGGATACTCGAGGTGGAGTTCAAATTCAGCTCCTCTCACTTGTAACTGCAGTTTTGACCACAGGCACAACATTGGATAAGTTTGCTGATTGGTACTCTGCCTTTTTCTCCAAAACGTTGCCAGTGAGTGGAGAATGGTTACAGAATAATGAGCATAAATTCAGTCCCAGGCACTTGCATTGATGAGTAATACAATTATCCTATTGTTTTCAATCTGTCTGAGTATAGTCATGTCAAGATATGCTGCTACAACATTGTACGGATGAGCAAGTGAAATACAATGCAGTCAAAAGTGGAACACAATACAAACGAAGAAAAGATATTCGGTCTACAGAATTCAAGATAGGTGTTACAATAAGGGTAGATAAAAAGAGTAATAGGTAAGGACGCTATAGTCCTACCAGACCATAGGGCTGCTCTCTCATTAGAGAGAGATGATGGATGGTAGTTTAGCCTGAGGGTCACCAGACCTCAGCCAAGGGGAGAGTCATTGAGCCATATGGTACAGAAACAGACCCTTCGGTCCAACCAGTCCTTGCCGAACATAATCCCACTAAACTAGTCCCACCCACCTGCTCCTGGCCCATATCACTCCAAACCTTTCCTATATCCATCCAAATGTCTTTTAAACGTTGTGATTGTACCTGCATCTACCACTTCCTCAGGAAATTCATTCCACATGCGAACCACCCTCTATGTAAAAAAAATTTGCCTCATGTCTTTTCTAAATCTCTCTCCTCTCACCTTAAAAACGTGCCCCCTAGTCTTGAAATTTCCCATCTTAGGTTGAGAAGGTGAGTCCTTCATGGTAATGACAAGGGTCAACAAACCTGAAAAGAGGCCTACGCAATTAACAGGCTTGACATTCAGTAATTCAATCTTGCAGTAAAATATACTGGCATAAAATAGATTTTATTGATTTATTGTAAGAGACCATTTGGTTTTTATTCACTACCCCACTGTGCCATCTCTATACTCATTGCTAAGACTGTGTTATCAGTATGTTCTTTTTTTAATTCATGAATGGGATGAGGGCATCGCTGGCTAGGCAGCATTTATTGCCCATCCCTAATTACCCAGAGGGCAGTTGGGTGTCAACCACATTGCTGTGGGTCTGGAGTCACATGTAGGACAGACCAGGTAAGGATGGCACTTTCCTTCCCTAAAGGACATTAGTGAACCAGATGGGTTTTTCCCAACAATTGGCAATGGATTCATGGTCATCATTAGATTCTTAATTCCAGATATTTATTGAATTGAAATTCCACCATCTGCCGTGGCAGGAAATGAACCCAGGTCTCCAGGCATTACCTGGGTCTCTGGATTAACAGCTGAGCAATAATACCACGAGGCCAAAGCCTCCCCGTTCCCCAGTATGTACTCTGCGCAATTTCGTTTATGAAGATCCACAGGGGCACAAATGTCAGGGAATTGGCGGTAGGTTTGGCTAAGTGTGTGAGTGTGTGTGTATGCTTGTGCATGTGTGCTGTGTGTGTCTGCATGTGTGTGTGTGTATGTGTATCTGTGTGTGTGTGTGTGTGTGTGTATCTGTATCTGTGTGTGTGTATGTATGTGTATGTGAGTGTGTGTATGTATGTGTGTGAGTGTGTGTGTTTGTGTGTATGTGTGTGAGTGTGTGTGAATGTGTGTGTGAGTATGTGTGTGTGTGTGGCTGTGAGTATGTGCGTATGTATGTAAGTGTGTGTGTGTTTGCGTGTGTGTGTGTGTCAGTGGCTGTGTGTATGTGTGGGTGTGTGTGTGTGTGTGTGTTTGTGTGTCTGTGTGAGTGTGTGTGTGTGTTTGTGTGTGTGTGGTGTATGAGTGTGTGTGTGTGTGTGGTGTATGAGTGTGTGTGCGTGTGTGTGGGTGT